TATATAAGATCCCCGCGCTCCAAATCTGCGACCGGGCACTCTTGGCTCCGTCATCGAACTGCCAAGCTTTGTGAGTATAGAGGAGGCTATTCCCAGGGCCATAGCCTCCTATATACTGACAAAGCCTGGCAGATCCCCACGAGAAACGGCCGCCGAAATGAAAAAGGTGAAGCGGCAAACAGCGGATGAATAAAGTCCTTTGATAAAATTCACGCTTTAGAGTACCACCAACCATTAATGTTTTAGGAATGCGCAAGACACATGCCACGAGCGGGTGTTCTGCCGCCATTCGCTTCCAAGAGCCGCTCATTTTAGTACTGCGGCGCCATTTGCTTCCAAGAACCGCTCGAGACATGCCTCGTGCACTGGCGCATTTGACGATACTTGCAAGTCAAACGCAAACACATTGAGGGGCTTTACGGATGAGAGGAAAGCCACGCGATTGGCGCCGCGCTGCGGCGAGACGCCGAAACACACTTCTCCCGAGCGAACAAGTGTGTTTCGGGTCCTCGCCGCTGCAAAAGCTGTGCGCTGACGTCCAGGTTCCCCTAAAGCCCCTCGATGTGTTTGCGCTTGTCTTGCAAGTAGCGTCAAATGCGCGAGTGCACGAGGCCCATGTCTCGAGCGGCCCTTGGAAGCAAATGGCGGCGCAGCACTGAAATGAGCGGGCCTTGGAAGCGAATGGCGGCGGAGCACCCGCTCATGGCACGTGTCTCGAGCGCTTCCACAACAATGGTTGGCGGTACTTGTAAAAAACGCTTTTATCAAGGGGCTTTAGGTTCCCCTAGAGTAACTGTAAATGCTCCGCTTGCGGAGCTCTGCAAGCAGAGCCTATATAATTACTCTAGGTTCCCCGAGAAATGGCTCGTTGATGCTCTGTGCTACCAGATCCTCGCGCTCCAAATCGGCGACCGGGCGCTCTGTGGCTCCGTCGTCGAAATACCAAGTTTTGTGAGTATAGAGGGGGCCATGGCCAGGCATAACAAAGGGATCCTGGGTTTAATACTCAACCCTGCCCGTTTTGATCAGGATGAACTTCGCGTACCGGTGTGCGGTCGTGTATCGTCACCGCGTGGTGCACGACTCGAGGCTATAGCAGTCGTACTGCACTGACGAAATTTCTCATCTATAGAGTGGGTTACAATGTCGCCGTGTTCTTGCATACTAAACTCCCGCTGTGTAAAGAACTAGCAACTTTTTTTTTTTTTTTTTTTTTTTTGTCGCGGCTGTGTTTTTTCCCTGTCTTCCTGTATTTTTGTGCACAACTTTAACCACGTTCCAGAAAAAGATGTTCATCGAACATATTAAGGACATTCGAATCAAGCTATTTAAGTAGGAGATAGGGTGAATATTCGAAAACCTCCCTCAGTCTGCAACCAATATATCCCCTGTCGACCGCTCCATTATTAAAATAAAGACTAAAATATAATGATTTAGGCGAAATCCTCAACGTGAAAACGACTAGCAAACATTGGAAATCGAGGGAACATGCGGCAGATTGATATCGTTTAAAGAGTTGTATGGATCAGCCACCAAATATATATATTCTTGTTATTCTATTTTCATGTACGCGGGTGGGTTAGGTACGAAAACAAAATGCTATGTGGGAAATATATATATATATATATATATATATATATATATATATATATGTAAAAAACATATGTAAAACATATGTAAAAAACAAAAAAACAAAACAAACATATATTTGTAAAAAACATAAAGACATATGGTTCCAATTAGAAACTTGCTCGGCGTCATCGAAAACCACTCAATCAGTCATTTTCAGAAAGACTTTGAGCGCGTGAGAAGCGTAGTAGTGCACTAAAGTTACCACTTCTGGAGCAGGCACAAAGCTAGCGGTTGCGGTAAGGCGCACGCGCGATTTTTCCGTTTCTTATCTAGCCCCAGCCTTGTACCTGCTCCACGAGTGGTAACTTTAGTACAATACTACGCTTCTCACGTGCCGAAAGACTTTCTGAAAATGACTGATTTAGTGGTTTTCGATGACGCTGAGCAAATTCCTAATTGGAACCATGTCTATTTTCATTAATTAAAAAGTTAATCAACGAATGTTAATTAATTAGACGACTGATCATTACGATTAGCCCTCTATAATATGTCCCCCTGGCCGTATAACTCACCTCCACAAGCGGCATAAGTGTAACTTTCACGGCTTTTTTTAAACAAATCTGTTAAGCTTAAAAAAAAACACCCTGCATGTATATGAGTGTGTGTGTGTGTGTGTGTGTGTGTGTGTGTGTGCGTGCGTGCGTGCGTGCGTGTGTGTGTGTGTGTGTGTGTGTGTGTGTGTGTGTGTGTGTTTTAACTGATCCACAAATTAGAGCTTGGAAAGTGCGGTGAACGAAATTATTCAAGCACATTGAGGTGCTCATGTTGCCGCTGGATGTAATAATAATCATCTTTATTTTGACGTGTCCACGCACACATCACGAAGCCTCAGGACAATCAAGGCGAGAGTGATAAGGCATGGCCTCGTCGTCCTTTATTTTATCCTTTTTACTGTCTGCTCAAGTCGCAGAGCCACAGCTCATACATCACATATAAAACACACGGAGTTTCTCTACAGACATGGTGACAGAATCATCCGCGGACAGGCCTCAAGCCGTGTTCGAATTAAGCGGGTTTGCTTCGAACATATACGTATTTCGAACATGTCTGGAGACGGTCTCTGTATGACCAATGTGACAGGATAGAGGAAAGAAACTCGGCTCAGACAGTGTTTGCATACTTTTTGTAATGATGCATTAGCAGTGTCTCCGCCGCTTAATTAAGACACCAATATGACGTCGAAGACGTGCACGTAATCGAGAGAGAAAAGAAGTCGACTTTTGTGGAGGCACCACGATGCGGTACACTTGCACAATAGGATCATCAAAATTATCGTCTCGATTAAAAAATATATATATATCGTTTTTTTTCCTTTAAGCAGTTGGGTTTCTTCCGCCGCCAGCAACGCGAGGCCCTGGAACGGCTGCTGAAGGAGGAACAGGATCAGAACGAGTGGAACGAGTTCATGGTCACCGAGGCCGAGGTCGAAGCAGAGAAGGAGTACTTCCGCAAGAGCATGATGGTCGGCGTCGAGGACTTTAACCTAGAAGACTTCAAGGGCGGACCAGGAGCGGCCTTCGAGCCTGAACTGGACTCCGCGACCACCGACGAGAAAGCGGTGGAGTTCGCCAACTGTAGTTACAGGCTTACAGCAGTCCGTCTCCTCCGCAAATGTAAAAATACTCCACCATCGGAGATATTATGATGGCCACCTTGGTGGCTCCGAGGCAAAGCACCGGCCTATATGGATCCCCAGCCGGCGGCTTCGAATCCTGGCCGAGGTGCCCGCAATCGGATGGAGGCTGATTGCGGGGAAGGCGCCGTTTGTAGTGTCCTGTTTGGACACCCCTTTAAGGGGTGTCCAAACAGGACACTACAAAACGCACGACTCCGACAAATCGTGAAAATTGAAGCGGACGCGCCCGCTTCAAGCACGATTTGTCGGAGTCGTGCGTTTTGTAGTATCCTGTTTGGACACCCTATAACCGAGCTTTCGGTTGCACGTCAAAAGATCCCCACCCCAGGTGGTCCAAATTAGTCCTCAGTCCTCCGCTGGGGCGTGCCAGATGCACGTCGTTGGTTCGGCACGTAAAACCCCAAATTTGACTTTGATTAGGCATATCTGTGAAGTTCTAAAAAGTCCTGTACCAGAATTTCTTTCGCCAAACTGTTCCACGTTCAGACTTTTTTTTTTTTTTTTTTTTAAGACAGGGGAAGGGGGTGGGGATATCTTTTTTGCAATTGAAAAATCATTTTATTATTTTCTTTTCCCAATCTGCGAATTTCGAGAGTACCGAAGGAACGAGGTAGATAATAAGAAAGGAAAACCGCTTTGAGGGGAGGGAAGGTAAGAAGTGTGCAAAGTTGGCTGGTTTTCAGGGCCGTAACCAAAGGGGGGGGGGGGGGGGGGGGGAGGGGGGTTCTGACCCCCCCCCCCCCCCCCCCCCGAAATTTTTTTCTGGGTACGGCCCTGGTCGGTAAAAGGGTTGATAACTGGGCTAGTTGGTCTTTTCTGTCCCTTCTCTCTTCCTCATACGTGTGCGCTAATGCCGTTAATATGTCAAACCCTGGTCGGTGCACTTGCAGCCAGCCGATTTTAATCTCCACCTCTGCGCATGCGCAGTGGCACCGGTCGGCTACCGGGTACCAAACCGGGACCGGTTCTTCGGTTTGCTATAACTCTCCATTATATGCCAACGATGCACATGATTCATAGGCGAAAATAAGACAATAGACATTTTCAAAATGGCCGCCGTTGTCCCCGAAAACTCCCCCCCCCCCCCTTCCCCCGAAATTTTTTTCTGGGTACGTCCCTGCTGGTTTTGCACCCTCTTTGTGAATGTAAGTGTCCACAAGTATCATCATCATAAATGAGAGATCTCACCCACAGCGTGCAACATATATACACCGTTCACC